GCATTGGCGTAGTACTTTTTCCCCAAAAATATTCAATGCGAAACCCGTAGGGATGCCACTGTTTGAAAAAATACAAATTTGTGTACATCAGAAAATGCGCCTTGAGGCATGGAACATATGTACCAAATATGCTAAAGATGTCTACAAAATTATCTCAGTTATTATTAAAAAACTGATTATTTTTGAAAACCCTGTATCTCAAAAGTTAAGGCGTTTAGGACATACGTCCATAGGACTTTTTTTCCTTAAAATGGGTCTAAGAATTACCTCCTTAAATATTAGTATGTGTTTAAGGAACACCCTGTATAGATCCGATAGTATTGAGATGTTTACACTCTATGAAAATAGATAACTGGATTGTGTTAGGAATCACACGATAAAAGTTGAGACCTCGTGAAACCGTAGTTCCCACAAGTTCCGACTTCTGAGGGTTGAAATACGGGAAAACTGCTTTCCCAGGAAGTTTTCGAATTTTGTTTCAACTGATAAAACAATTTTCATATAACTTCGGAATTACAGAAAAATTGATTGAAGGAAAAGTTCAATTTCATGTTGAATTTCGAAACGAAACTGTAATTATTTGAGAAATTGTGAATTTTGATAAATAACAAAATGATGAATGGTGAATGAAAGTTTCGACAACGGTAGACAAGTCAGATCCAAAAATATATAAAAAAATATTTTTTGTTGACCCTGGGAAGTGTAACAAAACACTTTTTATAGGTCTGTCGTAACTGCTAGAGTGCAGGAAATGTTGGTTAAAAATTGGAAATCCTCATTTTTTGTCTAAAAGTTTCTAAAATTTTCATAGAATCAGAAATTAATTGCCACAAAATTATTATTCGACTTGAACCTTTTATCTTTCTAGAGTTCAGGAAAGATTGGTTAAAATTAGAAACAATATGTTCAATCAAAATCAATTTTGTAGATACCATTGAGTTTTGTGAAAATTATTATCATAAATTATTCGCAATCGAGCAATGGATTTTTTTATCAAAATAGTTCTCAGAAAATGTAATGATTTTTTGTAATCATAAATCGTTTAATTGCAGTGTGAAAAATTTCTGACCGGATCATGAAAATATTTGAGAAAACCTAATCAATAATGAAGACGAAAGTTGACAAAATGAGAAATTATATTTGATGAAAATTTAGTATATTTACCAATGTTTGTAAGAAGATGGTTATAATTAATAGTTTTGAATTGAGTAAAAATAATTAAATGTTCATTTTTTATCAGAATTAAATAAATAATATCTATAAAATATATGAAATGAATTAATGTAGAATTCACAATAGCGTTTGCATGAAGTATAACTAAGCTAACCCAATCAATGACAGGCACCAAAGATGGCCATAGATAAATAATTGTTTTGAACTGAGTAAGAATGATTTATTCATTTCAGATCAAGAATACATGAATCTGATATATAGAAATCTCGTGTCACGGTGTTTGTGGCACCACTTCTCTGAAACGGCTCTTCCGATTTTTATAAAATTTCTTGTGTATACAGTGCATTTCTGTAATGTCCCCCCTTCTTTTATTTTTTGAACGGGTCAACTCAAGAAATTGAAATTTGGGATAATGAAATTAATGCATGAATACTTTATTTTGAAGTGAAATTGACAGATGAAACTTTCAAGATGGCGACTGGGCGCCATCTGGGAAAAAAATTTAATGGAAAGGGGGGTCTTGTGACACATCTTTTTGAAGCTCCTGACAAATGCATCACAACCCTAGAATATATTGTCAATATCTTCAACTATTACAAAATGGCGAAACTTTTAATAATTGCCTGAATACATTGACATTCAACTACATGTTATGAGGTAATACGCTTGAGGTCAGTTTAGAAGAGCTCGAAATGGTTGCCTTGAACTTCTTGACATATGAACAGCCTATCCGATATTTCACGCCTAACATTTTCGAACACACTAACGTCAATATCTCTACAAATATTTATTATTCTCTGCCGCATATCCAATATTGAATCAGGTTCAGTTTCGCACACCTTTTGCTTCAAATAGCCCCATAAAAAAAGTCCAAAGGTGTCAAATCTGGCGAGCGGGCTTGCCATTCTGTAGGACCTCGACGGCCAATTCAACGAATGGGAAAAGTAGTATCCAAATTGTTTCTTACTTACCCGGAGTAATGTGGTGGTGCTCCATTTTGTTGGAATACAACATCCATTCGCTTCGACGATTTCGGTGACGAGAGGGTCAACAGTAGTTTCCAGCATATTCAAATACAGTTCCCCTGTTGAATTTTGATCGATAAATACAGGTCCTACCATATGGTTTCCCAATATTCCTGCTCTAACGTTAATTTTTTCTGAATATTGGGTATGTGTTTTACGGAAAACGTGAGGGTTGGTGTCACTTCAATAACGGCAATTTTGTCTCTGAACATTGCCGTTAAAAAAAATGTACATTCGTCACTAATACAAATATTGTGGAGATAGGTAGGATGCCTTGCAATGGTTTCCGTCATGATTTCGCAGAATTCTGTTCTTCGATCAGGGTTATCTTCAGTTAATTGGTGTACTAGTTTAATTTTGTATGGACGATACCTATTCCTCTTCAAAAGTCTCCACACAGCAGAAGGAGACACCTCACAAACATTCGCGACGAAATAAGTAGACTGTTCAGGATTTACTACCATCTCACCAATTATTTGCACTTGCTGTTCTTCCGGAATGGACAGATAACTTGGGGGCTTTTTGTTATGTATACTACCGGTAGTTGTGAATTTGGATACAAGTTCCCTCAAACATTTTCTACAGATAGGACGATTCGGAAAACGTTCATTGAAAATTCTTTCGGGCTTCAATTTTTTCTTCCAATGGACGAGAATAGACCATTTTAGAGATTGTTGACGTAGTACCTTTCTACTAGTAAAACCGAAAACTAAATGAGAATATTGCAACTGAACAATGATGTTTTTTGTCGTACTGACATTTTTTGTGGTTTTTATAAACAAAAAAATAACTTAACAAACCTTATCGGTTTGTTGGAATTGCCATATAACAGATAAAAAGGAATATTTCTAGAAATATCGATATTAATGTGTTTGTCCTCAGGAAATTATTAAATGCTCCGGCATTTTGTAGTAAGTGAAGATATTGCCTTCATATTCTGGGGTTATGAATTATCCGTCAGGAGCTTCAAAATGATGTGTCACAAGACCCCCCTTTCTATTTAATTTTTTTCACAGATGGCGCCCAGTCGCCATCTTGAAAGTTTCATTTGTCAATTTCACTTCGAAATAAAGTATTCATGCATTAATTTCATTATCCCAAATTTCAATATTTTGAGTTGACCCGTTCAAAAAATAAAACGGGTGGGACATTAAAGAAATGCACTGTATATTTGGTAGGTATAATAATAGGTCGTAAAGTATATTTCAACCGCTAGATGTTTAGGAAATATTGTTCAAATGTTCAAATTCAAATATTTACTTTTGTGAAGTTTTGAATATATTCAAAATTGAAGATTGTTAAAATTAAAAAAAATGATCATGAATCGAAGTTAGATCTCGAGGGAATATTAATAGCACCCAACTTTAGATATAACTTTTCTTTAGGAAACAATATCTAATTTAGCTGAAAACATGGAGAATGTAGCTCGACGAAATCATTTAATGACAAAATAAATTTCTGAAAGGAAAATCCCAACAAACGGATATTGTCAATTTGGATTAATAAAAAAATTACCAAATGCTGCAAATTAACAGCTAGAACGTTTGAAATAGTGACGGTACGATAAAAAGGTAGTTTTATCTTAGGGAATTATATTTTTGTCAGGAGAACTTGAGACTTTTGTAATGTTTTGACGCAATATCATGTCATATATGAATCATATCATCATATGAATTTGTTCTTTTATGACATTGAATCGCCTCTCAAGTAACCAACCCTGAATGAAGCGGCATAATACTGACACAGTAGCAATTCAATTTCATCTTATAGTCATTGTTCAGCATGTATTATTTCATTTCCATTTCAGCTCACAATAATTTTCACCTCACATGTTTATTTCACGTTAATAAAACAACGATAAAAATAAAAACAAAAATAAATATTAATTGGCGCTCCGGGGCGACTTCATTGATTCCAGTGGTGTTTATTAATTTATCAACTCTCAAGTTTCATATCTATTATCGATTTCAGACAATGGAAGTTTGCGGGATTATTCTGCTAAAATGCTACAGAAGTAGCCATAGCTAGGTCCACTTAAACAATATAATAACATGAAAACAAATATTATGTTATCAGATCCACAAATTCTATGTAGTTCAAATAACAGGTCTATAAAATTAACAGAATAACTCCGCTGAACTTCTAGAATTCAGTGAGTTTTGCGGTCACCTTGTATTATCCATAAAGCTCTCAATGAGCAGGTTGATGTATATTATAATTCATAAATTTTCAAAGACGTGATAATCTCGAAATATATTGGATTTTCTTTACTTACTCGATTTGAAAGTGATGTTCATCGTTGCATTTGTTCCTTTTTTCAATGGACATCTAGGCTTGTCATCACACCCTATAATATCAACGCTGACAATTGATCCAACCTCTGACCCTGAAAGATAACATTAATTTTAGTTATTATTACCCAATATTCTTATCGTAGTGAAATTAGTGGGATGTGATAACATGGGGTTATTGCCTCGTTTTAAATACAATGTTATGAAAATGATTGTGTGTTCTACATTTTGGAGTTTTTGCAGAAAGTAAAATTGTTCAATCTATGTACAATGTCACAGATTCTTTATAAATGAATCAGTCAAGGACCTAGGTACTCTGAAGAGATTATGTGTAGGTCAAAACCTTCTTGGACCAAATATTAATCAATAATAGTGAAACTATTTTTTGTATAATTTAGATTTCGATATACCTACGTAACCTTTGAACAACTCCTCTATTCATTTTCTATTTTTCCGTCAAAGAGTAAACTTCCAAAGAAAGATGAATTCATAAATAACAATAAGACAACAACACAGAACAAAATTTCATTCTAGGTCGCTTTGCGAATATTTGATGCTTTGTCTTCAAATTTTGGTATTTATTAGTATATATGTATGTACATATGTATGAATGAACAATATGAATATATATATGTATGCATGCATGATTGAATGAATGAATGAATGAATGAAAGAATGAATGAATTGAGACAATCAAAAATGTATTTACCAAAACTCCATTACGAATTGAATAAAAGGTTTTTGTAGAGTAATAAAATACGTGTTGCGATTCTGTAAATTATTAGTGAAAATATCACAGTAAAGTATCACCTGAATGATAATTGAATTTTAAAGGTTTATTGGGAAGGGGGGACTCTTTTTTGATTAAGTTTTGCCGAAGGAAAGTTTCGTTTGATAAGTGGATGTTCATTTCAAATATCAGTCATTATCAAGAAATATTTCAGTTCTATTCAGACATTCAACATTGTTGAAAACGGTGATTACTGCGAAAAAAGTATGTTGGTCAAGCGAACTATAATATCGCGTTTCAAAGAACATGTTGCACATATTCCGTTTCATAGACCAGATAAGTCTTGTGCAGCTCAACATGCGTCATACAAAAACCACAGAATAAGTGAAAAATGTTTGAAATTGTCAAAACTAGTACAAGATAATAGGCTTTTATACGTATTTGAAAGTTTAGAAATAAAAAATTGTGGTATGTGGAGATCTATGAACAGATCTATGATCTATGAACAATAGATCTTTCACATAACAGGTAGTCAGTAAAATATAAGTGATAAATTAAGATATTATTATCAACTAACACAATACTAGGAATTCTTTTAATGAATCTTGTTTGATGATCTGCAGAAGCTGTAATGGTTTTTAGAGCAAAACTTGCCCTCTCTTATAACAAATTTGACGTGCTTTCAAATTCTTGTGAAAAATATTACTTTGGTATGTTTCAAGGGACTTTTTCGATGGCCACCTTGTATACCTTGACAGCTGAAGATAACAGTTCTCCTTTCAACAAATAATTTTGATCACGTTTGCTTAAATTGTCAAAATTCGTGAAGTCAACCCAGTTTCAACAAACGCAAGTTTCTTAATGGCATAAAATGGTTCTTTATCAGTTGAGTAGAAACTATACATTCAAAATATCCTTTGTGACTTGAATATTCAGCGATAAAAGATATTTATTTTCGTTTCATGAATATAACGTTATCGATTGACAAAGATCAAAGGTCACAAAATACAAAACGATATCACCATAATAAATTGCTTTGAATAATATAATCCAGGAAATTAGAGAGTATATTTTCAAAATACTTACTAGTTACAGCTTATCTCTTCACTACTGAAAGAAACTACAGAAAAAACTTCAAATGGATAATAACAATTTACCCCTTGTTACCATTTTGTTCACAAAAGTTGTCACCACTTTATTATTATTATTCTATTTTTCATCAGAGAAAACGCATCAACCAAATTGGTTATTAGCGTTACAATTCAGGTTACATTTCTAATCATAATTTACTTCAGAAAAAACAATAATTTATCAAATTCACAATTAGGGCCTAGTATATCCTTCAAAGATAATGTTATTCCATGATCCTTCCTCTGCTGGTTGAAGGTCGGACAATCGATAAGGAGATGCTTTATAGTCAAATTCACGTGGCATGCTTGGCATGTTGGCTCATTCTTGTTCTGAAGCAAATACTCGTATGTGTGGCCTAACCGTAAAAGGTTGTGATTACTTGGTCCCTTAGATGTTTATATGTGATATAGTCCATGGTTTCACGAAACTTTTCACTTCTCTTAGCCTTGATGTTGATCCTTGCCAACGGTTTTGCTATGCGCCAGCATGATCTCTTTAACTGAATTCTGCATGTCGCCTATTGTCGTTTTGGTTACAATTTGAGAAAGTGCGCTGGTTACTGCTTCTTTGGCTAGTTCATCAACTTCTTCATTAACCCGTATTCATATGTGCGATGGAATCCGTATGTAATTTATGTTTTTATCATTTATCTCTGCTTCATAGAGCTGGTTCTTGATTTGCACACCTAAAGGGTTCCTGGGATTAAGTTGTTGCAATATACTAAAAGAGCTGAGAGAATCCGTTAGGCCTGTTTTCATATTAAGTACTTGGTTTTGTAGGAAAAGCGGTTTCGTAAGAAGAATGTTGTCGGAGTGCCTGTACTTTTGCAGCATAAATTAGTGTAAGGAGTGTTCGGTACTCTAGCGACGGCTCATTGGCTTCACAATAAATACTTTCTATCGGGGTCATGCGATAGGCTCCTAAAATAATGCATGTAGCATTATTTAGAGAGTCGAGTGGCGTATACTACTGAGACAAAGTCCTGTTTTGATCTTATTAAGGTTTTATATAGTGTTAGTAGTATTTAGCGATCAGCGCCCCATTCTTTGTTCTTGCGTACTTTCAATGAGTTAGGTCTTTCAAACAAGAAAATGCAAGGAGTTTGATTTGTTCTTTCCAATATAATTTATGGTCGAATGTCATGCCTAAAAAAAGAGGAATATTCAGATTTCTCCTTTTGGAAAATAAAATGTCTCGTGTTTTGGTAATTGAGAAGTTTAGACCCGCTTTCTTGGACCACCTTTCTAGTTTTAAAAGTGAGTTCTGTACTATATATGATAAGTTCTCCAGATTTCTGTTTCTGCAATAAATTAGTCATCGGCATCTTCCTTTTACTGAAAGAAAGATTTTTTCATTATGTCATTGATAGCAACCATAAAGAGAGTAGGACTTATAACAGAACCTTGGGGTGTTCCGCATTCGAAGGACACTTCACTTGACATTTTTCCATTTGGGTTTACTTTAATTTTTCTGTTTGATAAAAAATTCCTCACGTACATGAGGCAGTTTCCTCGGATTTTCTCGTCATATAGTTTGTGAATTATATTTTCTATAACTGCCGTATCGTATGCTTTTTCGATATCGAAAAGACTGCCAAACAATGTTGTTTCGAAGCAAATGCTTCGTGTATATGGCTTTCCAAATCTATGATATTTTCTGTTGTGGATCTATGCTGCCTGAAACCGTTTTGTTCATGTACAATCAAATTATGGTGTTCTAGAATCCGCAGTAATCTTCTGTTGATTTATTTCTCCATTAGTTTACTCACTGCACAAGTCAGTGATATTGGTCGATATGATTTTCTGGACCTGGACTGGTCTCGCGAAAAGTGTTCAGGGCTTCTTGATATTCTGTCATAGATATAGAAGTGTTTAGTTTAATTGTTTCAGTGGGTTCGTTGTTATACATAAATGATATAATGTCGAAGTATTCAAAGATGATACGTACACCTGCCATGCTGCTTGTTAAGAATTACATTTACCGTTTGTCTAGATCTAACACCCCATCTCCAATCCCATCGACTCTCCTGACTTTCGTACTTTTTAATTTTATTGAAAGCTGTACTGCTTGCTTTGATGGCTTTTTCACAGTCGTTATTCCACCATGGTACCGCTTTGTAATAGCGGATATGTGTAGTTTTGCCAACTGATTTTTCTGCTGCTGTTGATATGATTTGGCAGTAGTTATGAAGGGATTGCTTGATGTTTCCGGAACACTGAAACTGTTAAGGTTTAATTCGGCTGATCTTGTGAAATCGTTTCAGTCAGCTGATTTCATTTTCCATTCAGAAGTGTGATTTTAATCGTTATTCCTCACGTCGTTGGAGATTAATAAAGGATGATGGTCACTGCTGTATGTATAGTCTAGTCTGGAACATGAGAGTTTAGTTGTTAGATTAGCATCACATAAAGTGAAATCGAGAATTGTGGAGTCTCCTGATCGAATGTCCAGTCTCGTTGATCTTCCATTATCAAGTAAAGAAAAGGTAAAGTACTCTAGTATATCTTTGATAGTTCGCCTTCGGTTATCAATTTTAGGCGATTCCCATAGTATGTTATGAGCAGTGAAGTCGCAAGTGATCCTGAAATATGAAATTTGAATAATCAAATTTATGACCTCTCTGAAGCTTCAGTGTCCGTGATATTGGACATTTCCGAAGGGTTAGATTGGTCTGGCATCGACGACTGCTGTGGCGGAGCCGTAATGATGTTGGCTTGGTCTATTAATTGTATAGGTGCAGAAATATTGGATTCTGCTATTTTAATATTTCCGAAAATAGACTAGGACTGAACAGAGGGGGTTGTATTTACTGTTGTGCAATTCGCTGCAGTGTAACCTTGCATCTTGCAAGTGAAGCAAACCATATTATTTTGAGAGATAAATATTCTGTATGATGAACCATCGTAATTGATGACTGAAGAATCTAGAAAGTTAGTGCGGCTTAGATCTTTTGGCGCCTAAAACTGAAGATGTGACTGTATTCAGGAAGGTGTGCATTAAGTTTCAGTTTTCCTAGTTCATGTATCAGAATATCGTGAGGGATTGATGGACATACGTTAGAGAGAGCAAGTCTCTCAGAAGGAGTTATGGATCTTCAGGTTTCAATTCTCTGTAAGTTCATCTCTATGGTGCCTTGAGGATTTAAGTAGTTTCTTGAATGAATAGTGTCCCCTAGTGGCACGAGGTAGTCGTGCAATTGTGTTTCTTTTATTGCCGAGAAAATTAATGGCTTGGTTTTTAGATGGGTATTATTGTTGAATGACAGCTGACGAGTAAGTTCTGATTCTGTTTTAATTTTGAGAACTCCTGTAGGAAGAAATCTCGTTGAAATTGTTTGTTATCATTATAATTTGGCAAAGTGTTACAGTACAGACCTGCACGTCCCATATCCTAGTGCGGTGGGGATACCAGTTGTCATTGCTGACGTCGGTTCATTTCCGAGGTTATGATTACTTTAAAGGGCTTTTATGTAAATTAAAAAAGGTTCCCACAGTTATATAAAGTAACACTATCGATTAAACAATACTTGCGATTTGAGGCCGCTGTATACAAGTTAGATAGTATCTAGTATTGAAGAATGGTTCAAAAACAGACTGTTACCATTATTGTTGCCAGAGTTGAACCCACTTTATTATTTATTCTGGTAAACCATTGCATTTTTGAACTCCGATATCTGATAGTTTGAATTATTCAGTATATGGAGGTTAAAATTTATAATAACGATATTCAAGTAACACATGTGTATAGGTTCAATGGACACTATCCAATGAGAAGGCAACACAACAAAATAGTGCTTTACAACTGCAGGCAATGCAACAAAGGACAGAGATAGCTAGTCATGTTTTATGCGAATGGAAGGCACTGGATTGCAGAAGGAGTAAATGCATGGACAACCCAATTGTTTCCAGGGGAATATGACCTACATACAACAAGAGACCTTTTGGAAAGGTTGTTATGAAAAAGATGGGGCCCATGAGGCTGCAGAGTTTTCCTGAGACTTGGGAGAAATGGACAAACCAGACACTCCCAGTGGTAGAAAACAATTCACTGTGAGATTTTACTGAACAGTTTCAGTTTACGAAACCACAACACTAACTGAAGAAAACCAATTCTGCATATGCTTTCCATCTTTTAGAGAACAACAATTTCAATACACTTACAGAAAATAAAGGATAAAAATTAAAGCTGCTTGAATATCTGGAAATCGATAATCGCAAACATTCAAATTTCCTTTTAACCGATCTACGAGAAGGTAATAACTCACCATTGTTGTACTTGTTTTAAAAAAAGTCAAGAATTAACGTATTTATAAGTTACCTGTTTTCCTAGATGTAATATTGCACTGTACCACCAGAGTTAGTCATTCATCTGATTGTTGTATAAAGACATTATAGAATAGTACAATGTACCTGTTCTACTGATGAAACTACCGTGTAGTGAAACGCGTCTTGAATGAAATCTATAGTATGAATATTGTATGATTATTATTATGGATAGTAAGTTTTACTGCCCATGAACATGTACCGTATCTTATATTTAAATTCTCTGTACATTTATTTGCTTTATATAGGTTTCGAATAGTGAGTTTAGGTTGCCTATGTAATTATTATCAGGTAGGTACCATGAATATTTGTATAAGTACGGAATATAAGAATATTTCTGCTGAAAAAATATGTTAAAATCGGTTTTTCTGTTAACCAGCTGTCGACAACTCTCAGAAGTCGAAACTTGTACGAGCTGAGGATTAAGGAAGTCTAAGCTGTGTTTGTATGTACGTCAATACATCACGCCAAACAAAACATTACAAATGCAATTTTTTTTTAAATTAGTAACTTCGAATATGGTTTCGAACAATGGGGTTTCTACTTCGTCTCTAACTATTTTTTTACGCTATAGGGCACTCTACATCATAAAAAACTAATTATACAGCACCGTCTCTAACACATTGGAAGAACTGCGACGACGAATCATTTTTAATAATGTTTACCGCAGCACTGGACCAAACGTCAGACATAGAAAACCTACAGACCACAGCTAAAAAAGGTGGAATATAGTTATCTCTGACTTGAAAGTTTACACTCTTCGATCAAATTGTTCTTTGTTTTTGGTTAGACATATTGCATTAGACATATTCAAATACAAACAAAAATTTTAAATTTTAAGCAAAATGAATAAACAGTTTAAAAAATATATAATGACTTTTTTTCCAACTTCTATAAATGTCATTTTCATATAAATGTCATTTTCATGAATTATAAAGTACACTTTGACCTTTGACCACAAATTTTTATATTGTCATTGTCATTTTGTATTTGAGACAGAATCTTTAAGTGACGTATAAATTCATTTATTTACTATGGGCATTTTCGTTTCGTTTACATAAATAATATATGATGGATTGAAGAGTTTTCAGATGTTTTGGTTAACACCTTGGTAGGTACCGCAAAGATCAGAAATTCCCAATAAACATAGACCTACCTGAAATTGAGTCCCTACTTAATCAGCAAAAAACCTTTATTTTTAGGAAAAGTAACTGACACACAAATAGGAAACCAAACATGATGTCGCGATGAACATTGATAAACAGTACGATCCTCAAGAAGGTATGAAATGAAATATTCCATACATTTTTTAATTTTCCATTTCATCCTTTTCATTCATTTATGAATCAATTGATTTCCATATTCCTTTGATTTTTCATTAAAAAAAATTCTAGAAACATTCAATTAATGGGGAGGTTTCAAAAATTCTACTTTTTTCTAGAAGATTTTTTCACTTTCAATTGAAGATATGATTCAATTTATAGGAAGGCTTTACAGATTTCGTGAAGAAATTAGTCGTCATGCAAATTATAGCTCAGTACTTACTGTCCGTAATTGATTTTTTTTAATTCATGAATCTTAATTTTCAGTGATTTTCCCCAATTAGTATGAATTTGAAACAGGCTGAAATATTTTTTTCTACGAAACAAACATAATAAAATAAATAGTATCTTAATTGGATTCTAATTTGTGATTCACCGTGTAAGTATCTACATTGCAGAAAACAGTTTTATTTACAGGTTGATAAAAACTCACCACAATCCGAAAACGCTGCGTTACAGAATGCTTCAAAGCACAGAAATATAGTAGATATTAAAATAATTTTTGAATTCATTTTCGTTAGAGGAAAACAATTCTGCACTACCTAAAGCTGTGGACGAATGTTAATTACTAAATAACTGCTGTGTGGAAGACTAGGCGCAAGATAACGATTCGATTTTATCACCAAATCGTATTCGACTGTTCGTATTCGAAACTGAGAGAACTTACAACTCAGTTCAAACAAAACGAACCCATCAAGCAATAGCTATGAAAATCCTATTAGGATATTCGTGAGATATGGTGGGAGTGGAATTTGGTTGTTTCATGAATACTCCAGTAAAATTCAAACTATTATAATTTAATAGATTACCGGACTTTGACACTGAAAATATCACAGGAATTTTTCATTACAAAATAATGAAAATATTGTAAAAATAGATATATTTTTTCAATGAAATTATAAATGTTCATGTTCATTTTTCCAGTAGGTACCGGATCGGAAAAATTGAAAACGTAAAGAAGACACACGAAGAAAAAACTTGTCAGTACAATTTCAGATTCACAGAATGATTTTATTGTTAACAACACCCTGTGACCAGCAGGAATTGAAACCAGCCGTCAAAGATATTCAAATATTCAATAAATAAGAAATAAATCAAAAAGTTGAAACCTGTCATCGAAGGGGGTCAAATAGTGGAATAAATTCAAAATAGATTAGAATTTATCGAAGGAAAAATATTCACCACCATTTTTATTAAAAAAAGTGAATCAAATTTCATCTATGTGTGTCGTATGTTTTGAGTGGATTGGTGCGAGTAGTTGGTTTAAGCCGCTTTCGGAACTTCCCTCCCACCACTTGATCTTGACCTTGAGCTATGAGCGAGGATAATCTGGAGTTGGCTTCAAATTGACTTCCGATGGAAACTCCGATATGTTGGTAGTTGGTTTAAGCCGATTTAGGAACTTCCCCCACCACTTGACCATGAATGACGTCACACGACCTTGAGCTATTAGTACGTCATATGACCTTGAGCACGGAGTTCGACAGTAGAAATACAAGGCAGAAGGTGGATCAATTTTTACACATAACCTCAAATTTGTTTTTGCATAAGAGTGTGTGTATAAGACCGACAGAATGGGTTTTGATAAGAGCGTGTGTAGAAGTGAGAGGGGTCGGTTTGTCATATGAGGGTGAGAGAAATGGAGATTGCATCGAACTGATCCGTTTCAAAGATAACAAACGTTGTTTATGCAAACAGTTCGGTGTTATCGGTTGTAAAATAAAGCGTTGTTTGAGGGGGCGATGTGGCTGAGGCGTTGTCGGTTTTTTGAAACTAAGCGAGGGAAAAATGACGTCAACGCCGATGATTAGCAGGGTATAACGTTTCAACGTGTGATCCAACATGCCGGAAGGACACTGAGCAGCATTTCCGTTACCCAACCGGCATCATAAGGAGAAGTTAACCAAGAAAACCATACGTAGGTGAACATAACAGAAAACATCTATAGGGTAACTCAAAACATATCGTTTGAGAAAGAAAAGAACGATAACGAGGACCCAACGTTTCAACGTGCGATCCAACATATCAGAAGGACACTGAGTAGCATTTTCGTTAACCGAGTTGGCATCATGAGAGAAAGTTAACCAAAAAACCAGATGTAGGTGAACATAACAGAGAAATTCTACAGGGTGCCTCAAGATACACCGTTTGAGAAAAAAACGGTAACAAGAATCTAATTTTTGAACGTGCGATACAACATGCCAGAACAACATTGAGCAGCATTTTCGTTGGCATCATCAGGAGAAGTTGACTAAGGTGAACATAACAGAAAAATCATACAGGGTGCCTGAAAACATATCGTTTGAGAAAAAAGAACGGTAACGAGGGTCTAACGTTTCAACGTGTGATCCATCATGTCAGAAAGACACTGAGCAGGATCTTCGTTAACCAAGTTGACATCATCAGCAGAAGTGTACCAAGAAGATTTTAATTTTGCCTACATCTCGCCTTTTCAATCGGTGCATAAAAACTCTCAGTATCAAGCGAAATGTCTTCGAAAGAGTATAAACGTAAATTAGAAGAATTTGAAGGGAAATTGTTTATTTTAAGAAAAGACATAAGTTTTTTTGAAGATAAAAGTGAAATTACAAAGCAACTAGGTAACCTTTGTCTATCATGGAACCGTAAAAAGTGGAATCCTGAAGAAATAAATCGACAGCAAGAAGCAAGTGTTTTGAGATCATTACCTACATCATCAGCATATCAGTTGAAAGGTATTCAACCTATCGAAATTGTTATTGGAAATAATCGGCAAAGATATGGGAAAGAAACTACTTTTGTTCAATATAAATATCATTGAGAATATGAAAAATGGAATGAAAAATGTTTTTACAATGGTATGCGTAATATTAGCATGTACGTTCATTTCAATTATGAAAATTATATTGATATTTGTTCAGAAAATATTGAATCCACGTGTAATGTAAAAATTTGATGAATATATGGGTTGTTCCATTTCAATATGATAGAAATTTGTAAAGTAATTCATTTTTTCATTGACTGAAATTTTTCTTAGAAATAAAAACGATATAAAATGGGAAGTTGAATAATCTAATTGCAAATCGCACATATTTGCAGGAAGTGCTGAAAATTGATAACAAATTTTTCACACCGCAATGCCTAACAAACGGAAATAAATAGTCTTATCGTGAGGGGTACCGCAGTTGAAGCAAACAGTCACAATGTGGGAAAATGTTGAAAATAATCAAATTGCTTATCTCAACGTATTTTCCAGAATGTTCAATATTACAATCACATGGGTGTGAGCACCGATAACCACTATCATATAAAAAGACCAGAAACTTGAATGCTGCGTAATCAAAGTTTCAGTCTAGCAGTCGAAGTCAGACAGTCAAGCTGTGTGTTTTTAAAATATTCAAGGTGAGTTTTCATAAATGTTATTTGAGTGCTACAATTTAGGAATTAATTGTTTCCGAAAAATATTATTGTTTTGTAGCTTCAATCATTTTTATTTTTACAGATGGATTTGTCCAAACTAAACATCACTTCAATTACAGAAAGAAAAAGTATATTGAAATTGAAGAATATACCTGTAGGAGAACCCCAGAAAATATTGTCGGCAAGAGAGGTCACAAGCAAGTTTGGACCAACAATTTTATTGGAGCTGAAGAATAACTCCACGACGTGTCACCGCAGAATACAAGCCATTTTTGACTTAATTCACTGGAGGAAAATATTCGTTAGTTTACGAGGGAACTATCGACGTGGGAAAACCTCAGCCGGCTGATCCATTCGGAATAGTGGAGAGTTAAAGTTTTTTGGAAAAATAAAAGAGAGTAAGTGATATATTTATTTTTGAAAGCCATATTGTTTTTTGTATGTAAAAATGTACAGAATAATCAAACAGTCAGACGATTTGTTACAACATATTGAAATAGTTCGTAATTCAATTTTCGATGAAAATTTCAAAAACAGAGATATGCAAATGTAGATGAAACGTTTGAATATCCAAATTAGAAAATGTAATAAAATCATCAAAGCAAATGCGTTACCTATCGCGACT